GCAGACTGCCAGCGTTTGCTTTAGTAAGGGGAACTCATCCCCACAGGGACTTACCGACTCAGGGCTCATGGGGGTGAGAGGTGGTTTTAGCAATGAGAAAAGCCCCAAGTGTGAGCAGCCTTCGGAAGTACTGTCTGATGTAGAACAGAATCCTTGGTTTTCTCTAACTCTCCAAGTGTTTCTGGAGTGTTCTTCGCTGTGCTGTGCAGCGCCCCAGGGACACACGGAGACACAGAGAGTCAGTCTCTGCTGAGCGGCAGCTCTGTCTGGAGCAGGAGACAGACTTGCGAGCACACCACCATGTCATCACGAGTGGCGCAGGAATAGAATCACATGCAGTGTGTCTTCATGTCTCTGAGGGGCAAGCACCTGCCCCAGGTGGGGGAGGGCAGGAAGGGCTCGGGAGGAGGGCCATGACCTGACCAGGAATAAAATAAAATGACAGCTGCTTTTATTAAAGGTTCACTCAATGCCAAGCCCTTTCATCCTATGAAGAACATGAAGAACAAAGATGTAGAGTGTGGCTTAGGTGAGGGAAGGGCCCTGGTGGGGCAGTTGGGGCCTGAGGTCCTAGCTCAGCTCTGCCCCTAACCCGCAGCCTGACACAGAGCAAGTTAAAGGACATCCCTTTGCAGCCAAGTAAATGAGATTGGACTTCAAGGTGGGGTTCTGTCATGAATTCTCTAGTATCTTATTTAGATAAAAACAACATGAAACTGCACAGGTAACCAAAAAGTTGGAAACTACCGTAAGGGGTCCAGGAGCCAAGAGACAGGAAACTTCGGGCTGAGAAATCCAGGAGGGGATCCTGGCAGAGGAAAGCTCTGAGCTGGGCCATGAAGGGTAGTTCGAATTGGGGCAGTCTGAGAGGAGGAGGACACCGTAGTGGAGGACGAGTGCAGACTTGCTCAAACGTTCAATGGCTCCCCAGGCCTGTCACCCACGGCATGGCAGGCTCTGCACAGCCTGGCCCAGTGCCTACCTGACCCGGTCATCCTGACATCCCTCCAAGAACCCCAGCCTCCAGCCCCCTGAGCAGCCAGCCTGCTCCCTGAACCTGCCACGCAGACGCAGGCTGCTGCTGCTGAACTCCCTTCACCTGCTGCTCCGTCTACATTTCCCAGTGCCCCCTTCCCCACTCCCCATGTCAGAATTAAAGATCCTTTTTCTTTCTGAACTCTGTCCCATTTGCTTAGGGTCACACATGGACAGATCCTGACCCACTAAACTATAGATACCTCAACTGTAGCTTACTCCTCCCCGTGGGCCACATGCCACACTGATGGCTGGTGCTTGGCAAATGTCAAATGAATGCATGAATGAATGAATGAGCAAGCTGAAATCTGGTCACAGAAAGGGAAGTTTGTGGCTACAGGGGACCATGAACTTGTCACAAGAGGCACCGGATGTGACTGACCTCAGAGTGTGGCCTATACTGCTGTGGGCGGGGCTTCTCAAAGCTGGAGGAGCTCAGATGGCATCGAGTCCAGTCTGTGCCATATGAGCCCTCTGCAGTGTTGCAGACAGCAGGACACACCCCACTCCAGCATCTCCAGTGAGGGCAGGCGAGCTCGCTGCAGCTCCAGCACCTGCCCGAGTGCAGTAGGCGGTGGGATGCAGGCTGCAGAGCTGGGTGGCCTGGGCTCAGATTTCAGCTCTGCTGTTTACCAGCTCTGTGGCCTTATGCAAGCTACTTAACCTCTCTGAGCTGTAGTTACTGTCTTTTGTAAAAGGGATATCGTACTACTTCCTTTCAAAGTTGTTACAAGCACTATAGAGAATATATATACAAAAACAAAAAAACAAAAACCCAACCCACCCACCAGCTTGCAAAAGGTGACTAATGAATAGTAGCTGATTCTGTTTTTATGACATATGATTAGTTGTTACATATGGCTGGGGAAAGTGTTGTGGAAAGTTCAAAGACAGTCTAAGTAACAGAATTTGGGTTTAAACCTAACAGTCTGTCATAATTAGTGCACTTAGTATGGTATTATGGGACTCATTAACATAATGTCATGTGAAGATGATGTGCCCAAGATGCTCAGGATCAGGGGTTACCAAGCTTTTCCCAAGGACATACCCCCCAGAGAATGCGCACAGTGAGACACTTGCCAGCCCACAGAGCCTGCTGCAGAGGTTGGCAGCCTGGGAGAGGTGACCCAGAAACAGTGTTCAAGGCCAGTGTCTGCCCAGCTCAGTCCTAGTTCTGGAAGCAGGCAGAGATCGGAGCAGAGAGCCCACGCTCCCGCCATTACACACTTCAGAGCTGGGCTGTTACTGGTTTGGCTACAGGGAGGTCCAGGCCAAGCACTAGGGCCTCATCTAACAGGCCGGGCTTCGGGCCGAGGGGTGGGAGGAAGGGGGAAGCCTGGAGCCTGTAGCGGGCAGTGGTGGCCAGAGCCCCGGGTGTAACCTGGGCGGGCCTGAGCCTGTGCGTGGAGTCAAAATGGTGCAGAAGTCAGGTCCCAGTCACTGGTTGGACCTATGTAAGGTGGAGGAGGGAGGAGGAGAGGAGAGAAAGAATCAAAAAGTAGCACTGATGCCGGACTGAGTGGGTGCTGTTAACAGAATCAGGAGGGACTGACTCGGTTCTCACCCCAAATTCCCTTCTCCCAGTTTCCCGGTCACAATGGGCACCACCCCCACCCACAGGACCAGCATCCGGAGTCTCCCCAGACTCCTCTCCTCCTCTGCCCGGAACCCGCTCCCTCCTCCTCTGGCCGACGCCGTCAGCCATTTTCAGGTCCTGCCCGTCCACGTGTCTCTCCCAAAACAGTGCTCTGCTCTCTGTCCCCGCAGCTGCTGTCCTGGTTCAGGGCTCCACTTTCCTCCTGGCTCCCCTTCTGCCCCCCATTCACACTCTTCCCCAAAACCAGTTGGGCCACACTCATCCTTGGCTTGAAACCATTTGGCACCTCAGTGTTACACAGTCCAGAGCATCCCCCTAGCACAGCTGGTATAGGACCTTCATGATCTGTCCGGCTTCTTGTGCCCTTCCTTCCCCACAGGCTTCAACCCCGCCACCCGAACTGCCTGTGGCTCTCACAAGTCTCGGTGTTCTCCTCACTCTGCCTGGAACCTGCTGCTCCCGCTCCTCTGGCCAATTCCCCGTCAGCCTCTCTGACTCCACTCCAGAACCCCACCCCACCCCCAACCCTGGGGCCAGCATAGGAGCTCCTCCTCTGAGGAGCTCCTCCTCACTCCCTCCTCTCCGTGGCCCCCACCGTATTGTCCTGGAGTAACCTCGGATCCCTCTGCCTCTCACACCTTGAGCCCAGGGCCTGCTCTCACTCAGTTTCAGCCTCAAAGAGCTCAGCATCCTGCCAGAAGCAGTCAGTAAATATTTTGTGAATGAATGGGAAAAACTGGGCAAGGAGGGAATCCGAGAGAGAGGATGATTTGGCAGGGAAGACAGACAACACGATTTGGTTCTAGGACACTGGTGTGAGCTACTGGTGGCGCATCCAGGTGGAGGCCCAAGCTGCCCTGGGAGGGCGATTTGGGAGCTTGGGGGAACATATCTTAAGAAATGGTAGTCTCTCTGCTCAGACAGGAGACAGTTTCCCTCAGGAGGTCAAGTGACCAGCAAGTGGCTCATAGTTAGCAAAACTCTTTCTGGCTTCATCGACTCAGAGAGCCTCAAAGCCAGAAAGACACCATAACGACATTGTCTGGCATGATTCTTTTATTTAACAAACGAGGAACCGTGGTTCCACGAGGGGAAGGGGCAAGTGAGAGGCTGTGCTTGGACAGACCCCGGGTGCCTCCACCATGGTCCGAGCGCCATTTCCCACCCCCATGGCCTCCTGTGCGTGGCACTGTCTCTGCTCCCCAAAGGAGGGCGCTGTCCGTGAGGGTGAAAGAAGGCGCTGGATGCGCCTAACTCCACAGAGGTCCACACACGGACTCTTCCCTTCCCGCAACACAGTTTCTCCTGGCCCAGATGAGATCAGACCCATTGAAGATCTTGGGAACAACCACAGGGCTTAGGCATTGAGTCTCGTGCACTCAACAAACAGGATGAGCCCCATGGCCTTCACCTCAGCCACAGCCACGTTTATTTTACCGCATTTTAAATGGTGTTGACCGTCTACTCTCCAGTCCTCTGACAGATCAGAATCAGCTCATTAGAAACCACAGGAGAGATCGCTGTGAACAAGAAAATCCACACACTAAGAAAAAGCAGCAGATGGGTCATTTAGGGTAAGGACCAAAGCATTCGCAGCAAAGCACGCGAAGACCCTCCACACACATGTGTCTCAACGCAAGTCCTGGTTGTGATATCCACATTGTGTGCTTACTTAAGGTCTGTAAGCGTCTAGACATCTCATAAGGATTTTCATCTAAAGTGATTAAGATTATTAAACTTCTAGCACTATAAGAAGCAAGCCCTCTGCTATCAAAGGGAGGAATTATCCCTAAGAATTCTGGGTAGCAAAGGGTCTTTATCACGACAAAGTGTTGAAGGCAACTGGTATTTGACAATTGGCCACAATAAAGCAGGCATGTGGTCTGACACGATGCTGACGCAGCGTATCATTTAACTTTCATAATTCTTCAACCTCACACACAGCAGGCATTCAATTATACAGGGCGGGGCAAAAGCAGGTGTACAGTTGTGAGTATGCAAAACACAGTTTATTCTTGTATTATTATTTATTAATTCTTGTATTACTTTCCATGCAAACCCATGAATGATTGACTGGATAGGCTGCGTTTTCCAGCCTCATTTTAAAAATGGGGAAAATAAGACCCACAGATTAGAGCTGCCTGGCCCTGACCACTCAGTGGGAGCTGGGAGCCGGAGCACCGCTCCCAGTCACCACTGCTGTGGTCAAAACCTGCAGCAACTTGGCCACAGGGAAACTGGCACTTAACTCCGAGCCACGCTGCTGTTGGCACCACGAGCACTCCTCGTGAGTCTGCAGCACTGTGCAAGGGTCGCCGCTTCCAGGCATGTGCTGTTTCATGGCACCTGTGCTTTCTTTGATTCACAGGAATGAATTCAGAGCATGGACGGACATCAAGCCTGTGAAACCAATAAAAGCCAGGCCCCAGTACAAGCCCCCAGATGATAAGATGGTTCATGAGACCAGCTACAGTGCCCAGTTCAAAGGGGAGGCCAGTAAGCCAACACAAGCTGACAATAAGTTCGTTGAACGCAGAAGAATACGCAGCCTCTACAGCGAACCTTTCAAAGAACCCCCGAAGGTGAGACAGATCTCCTGGGGAGCCCACCAGCACAGCCTGGGGTGGAGGGGTTCGCTGCAGCAGATCGTGGGGGCGGGGCTGCTGCCAATTCTGGCCCGGCTCCCAAGGGTTGGATAGAAATCCCTCCTCTTTGCAGCCCTGAGTCAGAGGGGGCTTCTTAACAGAAACCGTTCTTAAATTCAAAAGGAATGTGTAAAAGGAACATTACCTAAAATAAAAACAGCCTAAAGATGGGCAGATGTATAGAAAACTACCTTCTGATTTCGAGAAGCCCAGAAAAAAAGTGGCGGAAAACCTTACTTGGGCCCTGAACCCCTTGTCATAAAATAACTGTGCTTTTGCCCACTGTTGGGGGCACCCCTGCCCGGCTTCCTTCCCCTCGGCCCTGCATCCTCCTCAGCTCCAGTTACTGGACACTTCCTCACCTCCCGGGTCCCTGAATGTCACCTACACTTTCTTGCTCTCTCCCTCGATAAATGCCACCCACCAGAAGTTCATCACACACGCCTGCTGTGTGCGTTGTAACATGTTACTACAATAAACATGTTACTACAATAAACAGTTTGTGAATGATTCGCATCACTAAGTAACTTACAGTGGGTTCAGGGATTTTCCTCTAACGACACTACTTTGCCTTATTTGCAACCCAGAATGCGTTCAGGAGAGGGAGAAGCATGCCAGGGATTTAGCTGTTGATGCAGGAATCATGCATGCCGGAGCTTGTTCTCCGGGGTCAGGCTGCATGGAAACGTGCAAATATCAGCTTTCCTATTTACAATAGCAGAAAAAGGCTGAAAACCTACATAGCCTTCTCTGTGCTTTTGCCCTGAAGTCCTGCCCTCAGTGTTTTCCTCTGTGGTTGGGACTGGTGGGCAGGTCAGACGGGTGCCACCCCAGTTGGCCTGCACCTGTCCAGCTGTAGCAGTGAAAGTTCCATGCTTTATGAAAGCTCTCGGTCCTGGGTAAGCCGGACCCACTGGTCAACTTATGCGCAGTTCAGAGGTGAGTGAAAACCTCTGGACATCAGCAAGTGAGTGACCTAGCCTGCGGGGCCCATTGTCATCTCTGTCCCTCTTCCGCAGATGAGGTAGGACCCGGGACATGGGGTCGGCTGTGGGCAAGAGAAGATTAAAGGGAAGAAGGAGGAAAGATTGGGGAAAATAAATCTAGAGATGGATGGGAGGTGTGTGGCATACTGGGGGATCACACCCGGTGACCCCGGAGTTCTTGAGAAAGGAGGGCAAGGCCATTGTCAGGAATGAAGGGGGCAGAGCTAAGGAGGGGGCTGGGGAGAGTGGAGTGGCTGTGGCAGCTCCTCCGGGAAACGCGGTCTGGAGGGCCGGCCGGAGAAGAGGAGGGTGACTGGGCTGTGCGAAGGCCCCCTGAGGCGAGACTGCACGGCGCACGCACCTCAGTGAGGGCGTTTCTCCGTGTGCGTGCACCATCTGGGAGACAGAAACAGAGGAAAGCGGGCTTATGCTGCCATAACGAACCGCCCCAGAACCTCTGTGTCCTATGTCAACAAAGGTTTATTTCTTACAACACACACCCATCGTGGGTCTGTGCAGCTCTCCTTGTCACCTCTTGAGGCTGGGACTTGGGGGCGGGGCAGCCCTCTGTGGCTCAGAAAGAGAGAGAGAGAGCGCGCGGGGAGGCTGGGGCTGGCCCTGGGTCTGGATGGAGGTGACCCGAGTCACTTCTGCTCACATTTCACTGACTAAGGCAAGTCACACACCTGCCGGACTTGCACCGGGTGAGGAGGGAGGTCTGGTGTCCCCACGGGAAGGGGAAGCAGGCGGTGCAAACAGTAACACAGTCCCTGCCGGGGGGGCCAGGGTGAGAGGCCTAGGGATCCTGTGTGACCAGTGGGAGCGTTGCCAGCTCACTGCCCGCCCAGGGGGTGGGGACCCCTCCTAGAAGCCCAGCGGAAACACTTTATACTCTGTGCTCCCTTGGCGTCAAAAGTCATCGTTACCGTTATCCTTGAATTAATCATGTCTTCCCTCTGAATTCTCTCTCTCACTCCCTCCCCTTCTGTGTTTCTGTATTTTTGGTCTATCTGTCTGTCTCTCCATGCAGGTGGAGAAACCTAGTGGTCAGAGTTCCAAACCAAAAAAGACCTCAGTGAGCCACAAGCCCCCGAGGAAGTCCAAAGACAAGCAGGTGGTGGCAGGCCGGGCCTCCAAGAAAAAGAGCGCGGAGGGCCCCAGCGCCGCCCAGCCCGAGGACAAGGAGCCGAGCAAAGAGATGAACAATAAACTGGCTGAGGCGAAAGAGTAAATGTCACTGCACTTTCCTTTTATTCTTCTCCCCTCCCCCCCTTTTTCAACCAACCAACAAAAAAGGCCACAAAATTGATTAGAGGCTTCTCATCTGTCTTGGTCCTGAGTGTTCTAGGAGCTCTTTGGTTTGGTTTCTTTGAAGGGAGGAAGCCTGTTTCGAAGACCGTGAGGCACGCTCTCCTCCGCGTGGCCCCGTGTCTGTGCCCCTGTGTCCGTGCCCGTGGCCCCTGGAAGCCCAGGAAGCGTGGCTCACTGGCTGGGCCTGCCTGTGGCCGGCGAGGCCACGTGCGGGTGAGGAAGGGGGGCAGGGCCTGGCGGCCACGGAGGAAACCTCCTGGTAGTGCTTAGAAGCATCTGCGGGGTGCCCTCCTAGTGCTCCCCAGGGTCAGAGTCAGTGACCGATCTGGAACTGTAGGTGAGTGTGTTGTTTCCCAAATTCAGAGAGTTATCGTGTGTCATGGAAGCTTAACCTGGCCTTCAGCAACTGACAACATTTGTGGAAATATTTTGAAAACAAAATACAAGAAAACCTTGGCCTTAATAAAATTAGTTGTGTCTGTTAAGTAATTTTTTCATAGAATCTTCTGCTAGAAGTGTGTGGCTGTGTTTAGTTTCCTGTCAGTGGGCTTTAAATTGTGTGTGAAGTAGAAGGTATGCCGCTGATGACTGGGGCAGGTAAAGGGTAGGTGTTTTAGGTACATTCCAGAAGTCACAGGAAGGTGACAAAGATGAAGGGATTGTAGCCTGTCTCCCCTCAGCAGACTGCCCACCCAGTGCTGCCGATTTTGCAGAGCGGCTGGTTGCAAGTGATGGGGGAAGGCAGTTCAAGGTAAAGGGATCGTGTTCAGAACATGACTTTGCTGCGTCTGAGAGACACAAGGCAGGAGGTAGACGTAGTGACAAGTGTGGCAATGTTTACTGTCCCTTCCTGAACTGTTCTTACTCTGCTCCTCAGGGAGGACAGAGGATGCTGAGCTTTAGGCTATGGGAAGTACCTGTGACTTAGCTAAGACTAGGAGAGTTCCCTGCTAAGTGATTAGCGAGCATTTTTGACCTCCTTAATGAATAAAAGCAGCTCTCAGTGAATTATGTGTTGTGTGTCTGTGTGGCCAAAGCCTCCCATGGTGGCAGGTGCTGCCTTAGCTGTGCTAGAGTTGTGTTGTAGGCATTAGTCAAAGAGTGTTGTGAAAAGAACCCAGTGCTCTCGAGGGCACCCAAAACACCTGCCAGAAAAAAAATCACACTCGCCAACCTGGGACGTGTATACTGTTCGGTGTGCTCTGTTTCTCCTGTCCTCCAAGTGCTTCCTGTCGCCAGCACTTGGAAACTGCGGGGCGGTGGTATGACGCCACGCCTCTGCTCAGGCTCCCTGTTCCTTCGTGATGAGGTGGTTGGAGTGCAGAGTGCCGTGCGCAGAGTTCCTGACCCCAGGCGGTCCTCTCTGTCCTTCCTGTCGAGGGGAAGCAGAGCCCCCATGTGCTCTCTTGTGTTCTGGCTATTTAAGCAGCCACGTCTTTGTTCACACTGGTTTGGTTATGACCTTGGAGCTGATGGAGAAGCAGTTTGTGGATTAACTGAGCATGTGCTATGCGGGCCGTATTTCTTAAGAGAACAGGACTTTGAAAGATGAAGCCCTTGGTCAGGCCCACGGCCACCTTCCTGTCCACCTCCAGGTGTGGAGCTGTGAGGAAGGAGAAGGATTGAAGAAGGCAGAAAATCTGAGTGAGGTGAGCATTATGAGTTACAGATTTTGATGCCTATCTGGAAATGACCCGAGCTGGTCTCAGTTCTGATTCTACCTATTCGCTAGCTCGTCTTAACATTAACCAGAGCGCTCTGTCAACATGATCTTAAGTTTGTCCAGGGGATGTGCAAGTCTGTGTTCATTCTCTCAAGATTTGGCATCACTCAAACACGTGGATGTTCGCTGCAGTTTGGGTTTCTCCATAGCATAGTCCTATATTTTTTGTGGATCAAGTAAATCAAATTCTACAATGCATACAGGACCGTTCATTCAACCTTTACTTACTGAATGCCTGTGTGTTGGACGCTGGTCTGTCCTAGACCGATGTCCTAGACATCGATACTGTCCTAGGGCAGTGTAAATAAGCCTGTCTCCACAGCAGCACAACCAGAAGGATACAAGTGACTTGATCCCTGTGTCTGGTTCAAGTTTGTGTTGCCCAAACTGTAGAGCTCGCCACCCACCTGGCTGTCCCAGGGGCTAAGTTCCCCACCTTGCTGTACCTTGAGGCTTGAGATGACCTGTATTACACAGGTCATTAGTCTGTTTCAACCCGTCAGTACCCCCAGCTTTTTAACACCTTGTTTGCCGTTTACTTTGACTCTTGAATGTGTCACTTCACTGGCAAGAAAATTCCTTTGATTTCTACTGTTTACAAATAAAACTCAGCTAGTCTTGTTCTGTACCCAGACATACTGATGGAAACTGATTTAGGTTTCACAAGCAGTGTTCATTTCTGCCTTTCTGAAGGTGACCAAGCTTCCAGTGCCTGTGCTGTCCATTTTTGCGCATTGCCCTATGGTCTCCTCCACTCCCCTGGCAGGAGCGCAAGGACGGAAGCTTTCCCACTGACTGCCGCGCTGGCCTGCGAAGTACCCCCTGTGGCTGCACAGTGGCTCCTGCAGCTCTGTGGTCCCTACTGGCGTGCCCATTCGGTCCATTTTGCTTTTGGCTCTTGGAAGCAGACAGGAGTGTCTAATTATGATTTTGTGGCCTGGGTTTTGTTGCATACCACAGACTGTCTATGTAATGTGTAGCGCACACCTCTCTCGGTGCTATTTCATCCCCGCTGTTGGTGAGAAAATACAAAGACATTCATGTATAGCCAATTGATTGTGACGTGCTTGTGGTCTATGCCTGCTCAGAATGAACAAACAAACAAACAAACAAACAACCAGTTTTTCCAATTATAAATAAATGCTAAAGACGAACACCACTTTCTTGATCTTATTTCCTTGGTAAGGCCCAGCTGAGTAGGTGAAGGACCAACCTTTGCCACTTGAGCCGCTCTCCACGAGAGGAGCTGCGCCCTGCAGTTTTCGGGGCTCTCCGTAATGCAGCTTGACTCTTTTAGATTGCCTCTCAGATACTAATTGCGAGCAGTCAGAGCTAAGTGTTGGGAAAGGCGAAGATGGACCGGGAGACCCACTGGCCAACAAGGTAGTGTAACGCTTTGATCCCATGTTGCTGGGGATGAGTGATCGCCTGCATTCAGCACGTCCTCGCTACATTGGGAGACTGGGCCCCGACTCCCTAACCCCTTCCTGTCAACCAGCAGGATGGTCGGTTCTGGCTTTTTCTTCTCCCAAGGGACGGCAGAGGTGTCTTCACTTGCTCATTTAACCTGGTCATTGTGGAGACTCCACCCTGCGGGAGCTGGCTCACTGCATGGGTTACAGGGGTGACAGTCTTGTGTGTGCCTGACATGGGGGTGTGGTCCAAATAAGGTGACAACAGACCAGGTCGCTGGGAGCTCAGAAGAAGGACAGGGGCGGGGAATCAGAAGGCTTCGTGGGGGAGGGCACCTTGGAGATGGGTTGGGTGCAGGTGGGCAGGGGCAGGCCGACAGGCAGGATTGCAGGTCCGGGTGGGAACCTCAGAGCAGGGGCCGAGTTTGCCCACTTTGCTGTCCTGCTAAAGTGGGAGGCAAACGCTTCTATGTGGGATCCTTCTTCCCTTTTCCAACATATGTTCATTTGAATGCCCGCTCTGTGCCGAGCACTAAGAAACCAGGATGACTGAGCGCCACCTCTGATCCCAGTGGGGTGTGCAGGAGGAGTTTGTTCTGGCTGTTCTGTGGGTCGGGGAAGACCTCAGTGGATGGGCTGGTGCTGCCAAGGTGGGCCCAGGCATGCCAGAGAGAGGGAGCTGCACGGCAAAGGTGTGGAGGGGTCCAACACCAGGTGAGCTCAGGTCCTGGGGGAGTCGTTCACACAGGGAGGGTCAAGGCGAAGGCTGGCCCCTGGCAGAGCCCATCATGGAAAGACCTGGTGCCAGGCCAGTGGGCAGTTGCTAACTGGGACCTCCATCTCATACACCCAGATCATGCCCCGCACACCTTTGCATGCTCCCTGCCATCATGCTCCACACCCTCACCCTCACCCTCACCCACACATCAGGCAATGGCCACGGGCCCTCTCTTTCTGTAGGCTAGGAGTGCTAGGCTGGGACTTCATGCTATTGCTGGCCACAGTTTCTGGGTTGTGGGGAGGAGGCTTGGTAGGAATCAACCAATCAATGGTCATACATATGAACACCACTATATATCTGTTTTCTGGATTAGCAGAAGACATTACACCCACCTGCCTGCCTTTGTATTAGGCAGAAAACAGAAAATCAACTGTTCAATATAGAAACCCTACTTAAAAGCGTATTAAAGTCTAATTATCCAGCCACTTTTGATCCGTTAAGGATTGTTTTGATCAAAACCAGGAATCGAGAGAGGTGGAAACAGAAGTAGAGAGCGAGAAGCACAGAGATGCAGACACACAGGATAACCTGAGAGAGGGTGAAACACTCAGAACCAGAACAAGGACAAGACTCTCCAACAGGGAGAGCAGCAGGTGGGGAGACGGGCTGGCGTTATCCGTGCTGCCGGTGGTCAGGGCTCCCCTCGGGCCGTAGCCCGTGCTTCTCGCGGCTCCCTGGCGTTGCCCGGAGCCCAGGAGGTGAATCCATAACTCATGACTAACATCACCTCCCTAAAACAGTGAACACAATAAAAATCAGCCATCTAGTTTTTAAATAGTTCATGATTACTAAATTAGTTGTAAGTGGTTTTTCATTCTTTTTTAGTGTTTGTATGTTCTTAGTGAAATTCTTCCCTCATTTTTTTTCACTTGAGTTGAAAAATATATAACCTGCTTCTCATAGATTTGGGGAGCGTTGAGCCCCATTTCACAAAGGCTAGGAGCTCCCTTAGTGTGTCTTCCTGCTAAAGCGTCCTAAAGCTGTTCACATTTTCAGGACC